TGTTGTTGTTGTTATGACAAGTTGACATAACCAAATACATCATAACATGTAACTTTTATAACAACTTGACATAACCAAATACTTAACCTGTCTTTATTGTTATAACAACTTGACATTACCAAATACATCATAACATGTTGTTGTTATAGCAACTTGACATAGCCAAATACATTATAACCTGTCTTTATTGTTATAACAACTTGACATAACCAAATACATCATAACATGTCATTGTTATAACAACTTGACATAACCAAATACATCATAACATGTCATTGTTATAACAACTTGACATAACCAAATACATCATAACATGTCATTGTTATAACAACTTGACATAACCAAATACATCATAACATGTCGTTGTTATAACAACTTGACATAACCAAATACATCATAACATGTCGTTGTTATAACAACTTGACATAACCAAATATTTACCTGTCTTAAGTGTTATAACAACTTGACATAAACAAATACATTATAACCTGTTTTTATTGTTATAACAACTTGACATAATCAAATACATCATAACATGTCGTTGTTATAACAACTTGACATAACCAAATACATCATAACATGTCGTTGTTATAACAACTTGACATAACCAAATACATTATAACCTGTCTTTATTGTTGACAACTTGACATAACCAAATACTTAACCTGTCTTTAGTGTTATAACAACTTGACATAGCCAAATACATCATAACATGTCATTGTTATAACAACTTGACATAACCAAATACATTATAACCTGTCTTTATTGTTATGAAAACTTGACAAGTACCAGATACATCATAACATGTCATTGTTATAACAACTTGACATAACCAAATACATTATAACATATCATTGTTATAACAACTTGACATAACCAAATACATCATAACATATCATTGTTATAACAACTTGACATAATCAAATACATTATAACCTGTCTTTATTGTAATAACAACTTGACATAACCTAATACATCATGACATCTCAAATAATGTTATTTTTGCAATGACATAACTGAGTAAATGGCACTTAATGACAGTCGTCATAGGAATGCGCAACACATATTTCATATTCATATTCATAGTCAAGATTATAAAGGTTTTATGAACACCCCGTTGAGTAAAGTGTTGCTGAAAATGCTATCTATGCACACCATAGTTGACACCAAAAATCTCTCTTCAGAAGTGGAGGGATGAGCGCGTAAACCAAGCCAATGAGAGCCGCACCAAAACAAACAAATAGTGTTTCCAAAGACTTGAAGAAGACTGTGTCAAACGATTGCACTTCTGCCCTCAGACCTGCCCTAGAATGAAGATGTGATTATACGTTCCTCATCTCATCTGTTTCTTATACACTTTTATCAAGCCACAATTCTCGCTATTAACAAACCACTGTGACTTTTAGCTCAATGATCTGTCCGTTTTTGACTTATTAATAGTTATAGATGTGTTTAGGTGTTAGAGATCATAAAATAAATAAACCTCATGCAGAATATGTGCTTTATAAGTACTAACAACCAAACGATATAATATAATAACAGACAGGTGATACACCACTGGTTAATAGTGAGAATCGGTGCTTCAGCTGAAGTGTTTCTGTTTTATTTTCCATGTGAGTTTGTCTTAACTTATTATTGTTGAGTTTCCTCTTGTTTGAGCACTGTATCGAATGTTTTAATGCTTGTTTATCCGTGTTTAATGTATAATTTACTTTTTTATCTTCAAGTTGTTTTGGGATTCTCAGGAATATTGTGTCAATCCCGCTGCGGACACTATTATGCGACAGTCCAAAGTGGACTGGATTTTCCCGTCCATCACAAGCGTGCGAATGTGTTCGAGTGGAGTATGCGTGTGTAATTTTACAATCCTGGACGTGATGCTTTATGACAATATACAAAACCTAGTACAGCAAAGGGATCGTTCACTGTAGCTCATACACTGTTAAAAGCGATAGTAAAAGTCACTTTAGTTTAGGTCACAGCTCATGCTGTTCACTACTGGATTATTACCTGCTTATTACTAGGATATGAATGATTCATTAGCAGTTATAAAGATGATACATACCCCAAACCTTAACCCAACTTCTACCTTGCTAACCATTAATGAACAGGTAATTAGTCATTTATTAAGCTAGTAGTGTTTGTTGATGTTTATAGTACTGTGAATTGTGACCTAAACAAGAGTAAAACCTGCTTAACTTAATGTTTTAGTAAGTTTCTAATCATCTTGAACTTACATAAACCAAATTGGCTTTCAAATATGAAGTTAAACGTTGTATAACTTTAAAAAATGTACTTAAAATCTGATTAAGCTATTTAAATAAATCAACAATCTACAGTGAGTAGTTACACTGTAAAGAAATGTTGTGTTCCACACAACCAGTTAGTGTTGAGACAACATGAATAAATTAAGTTAACCTATACGTTTTACAAATTTAAGTCGATTAAACCTGAAATAATTAAGTCGTCTCCCAGAAAACCTCAAGAATTGAGTCATTTCAGCTCTTTATAAACAGTTTGAACAAAGTGGAGTTTGAGTGTACTTTAAAAGTGAGTATACCGGTTGTAACTTGAATCTGGTAAGCTTACTGAACTTTTATAAGTGACACGGTGGCTCAGTGGTTAGCACTGTGGCTTCACAGCAGGAAGGTCACTGGTTCAAGCCTTGGCTGAGTCAGTTGGCATTTCTGTGTGGAGTTTGCATGTTCTCCCTGTCTTGACCCGAGTTTCCTCCGGGTGCTCCACACAGTCCAAACACATGCGCTACCGGGGAATTGATCAACTAAATTGGACATTGAGTGTTTTCCAGTACTGGGTTGCAGCTGGAAGGGCATCCACAGTGTAGAACATATGCTGGAATAGTTGGTGGTTCACACCTCTGTGGTAACCCTGATAAATAAGGGAGTAAGCCGAAAGAAAGTGAATGAATGAATGTTTTTAATTATGCGCATACTTCAGCTTAACTTTTTAAGTCAAGTCAACTAATCGCTTTTTACACTGTAGCAGGTTTCCACCAAACCCCTTGGACATTGGACAGAAAACATGCCTCACTTTTTATTTAATATTTAACCCGAGAGGATTATTGGTAGTTGTTTGGTAGTTTTATGTTACTCGGTTGTGTCTGCCGATGTTTACTGTCGTCTCATTCATCAAGCGAGTATTTTTAGCACTATGAACTCGACCAAATCAATGTAGCTGGAGCTGAATTTGCCAATCATGAAGATTGCTCCACTTGTGTGTTTATTATTGTGTGTAGACTATACAGAACTACGGGCACAACTGTACCTCATACTAAACTAAAGTCAAACCGCTAGCTTTCCTACGTTCTTTAATTTATTTGACGTCAGCACTGGAAAAAGCAGGACCTAGATCCACGTGCGGGAGTTTTGCTTGTGTTTAGCTGCAGGGTTGTAGAAAGCAGGCCGTTCCTTCATTTAGTGGCTTCTGTACAGATCTTTTGTTATTATTCTAGATTATTTTTGACTCAGTCTGAAAAGATGTTCATACTTTATAATGTGAGAAACTATTTTTGACAAACTTTTTTAATGTAGCACATTAAACCTTACTTGTCTAAGAGCGCTCCTCTCTCTGCCTGATTATTGGGGATTTCTGGAGAATTTACAAACAAACACACTCAAAAAGGGTACATTCACACACACACACACACACACACAAACACACACACAAACACAAACACACAGGTCAGCTGGATGGGAATAATGAGTGATTTACACTAATGACTCACACCAGCGCTCTGATTCACAGCTGCAGCAGTCACACACACACACACACACACACACACACACACACACACACACACACACACACACACACACACTCTCAAGGACACATTCAGACACACAAACACACATGCAGTCAAACACATACATTCACACACACACAGGAACACACACAAAGACACA